ATATATTTTATTCAAAAATAAAAACATTATCACTTTCTCAAAATCACATAAAGCCATATTATAATATCGACTGAGATAAAGAAGAAAATGAAATATTAAAATCATGATGCATCTCGCTGCATTGCGCGAGTACGCTTCTAGTATATTATAAGCTAACAAATAAGATATTAGAAAAAGTAACAAAAATCAAATATTGTGTTACAAAAACCACGTATTACATTGGCGTGCAGCAAATTTTATTATAGTATTTAATAAATCAGAAAAACCACCATCACCGTAATCCTAAAACAAAAACCGCATTTTTCACGAAAAATGAGATTTGTTCGAGATCGCAAGAATGCATAGGCAACCCTGCTCAAATTAAAAATGGCTATGATTCCAGTTATTTTTGGTCAAATAATCAGATTTGAAAAAAAAAAGTTAAAGATTTTAATCTCGATGTGGATGAGGGGAAGTTACAATGGTAAGTTTTACGACATAAATTTAATATGAAGCCGCTTCGGCATTTTTTCGGGATAAAGTAGTACGAAATAACATTGTATAACGGTGATTATTTTATAAATGCTTGAAATTTTGGGATAATTAGATCTGTGTTAATTAATACTGTAATTAATATCGAAAGTGAGATAGTACGAAAAACATTGTATAATTAATAGATATGGAACTCATATGTTCCATTTTATTTACCAATGCATTCATATGTTATATATTTCATAAGTTTAAAACAACATGCAAGTAGCTTAGCCAATTCTAGGAAATCGAAAGACAATCCCACGAAAGTCCACTCGAACCCAGACCCGATCGCATCGTCCTTTTGTAGTCGTCAGAGAGCCATCCAGTATCATGATTGCGTCCACTCATGGATTCTCTCTTTCTATCGTCATTACAGCAACTTCTCCTGTCTGTCCTACCAGCTCTGGCCACGAACTCTTTCCTGTATCATTTATTCAATCATAAACTTTTTTTGATCGATCATCTAACACATGAGTGTGTAGAAGTTTCTTCAAATCATGATAAGAAAGGAAACGGGATTTACCTGAACAATCAGTCATTTTTGGATGAGTTGGAAGAGCATGAAAAATCTAGGGGGTATAAGTAAAGGTACAAGATAAGGGCAAGGGGTAGACCGATGGAGTACAGATCTGCATTTTGTATTGCAGGTCGTAATTTGGATCGAAAAAAGTCATACGCTTTTGGGTGAAAAGTCAAACCGCCACTGATGTTGAATTTTTGATTTGAAAGTCATGACAAATTACCACTTTTCTTGACTTTCTAAATTTGGACTCACATGATCATTGTATAATCAAGTCAAAATTATGAATCATAAAAATTTCTAATTATAGTAATAATCCAGAGTGATCAAGGTTGTAAAGGTGTAAACGAGTTAACGGGATTGTGATTGACCATAGCAAATATAAGATATCTGATTTTCCCTTGAAAACAATATTTATACTTTTTGAGATAAAGATAAAGTTTGCATGTATTTATT